TATTCGTCTGTAAAAGCCATTCAAAACGTTTTCTTTGCATTGCTTATTGAAATCGCCTTCGCTTTCTATCCAAAACAAGTAGTCAACCAGACTTAATGAAATCTGTTTCGTTTCTTTTGTTCGTCATTGGTATTCCTGTGCACTATATGAAATACAATTACAATGAAGTCAACAATGTAAAGATTAATAAACACTATCTTGAAGGTGGGTGTGGGATGAAGCAAGGATACTCTCAATGACATTGTGACAGCTATGTGTAAAAAAAGGAGATGTTGAACTGATGTAGACAGAATGAAAAAATTATATCAAGATAAGAGTATAATAACACATTTGATGTTGGAGATAATATTTATTATCTTGTCCTACTTACACGAGTAATAGACGAACAGTAGTGTATTCTGTTTTTTGCGTTTACGTTTCAACTGAAACATAATATGCACATCAATCAAGTTTATGTAGATCTTGTTAATGAAAGTAATGGACCACACAAATGGTGGCATCACCGCTGGGTTAAAATAATCGGCATTTCCGTTATTATTTTAATAGTTTTTGCTGTTATTCTTGCTCTGTTATTAAACTTCGTCGTCTTTGCATCGGAGAAATCAGAACCTAGTACCACCACTACAACATCATCATCATCATTAACGCCAACAACAGCAATATCAAGCCCACCATCACGAACAACAACAACACCATTAGCAACATCGACCACAACTTTAACACAAACGTCATCTACGACGAAAAATCAGCAGTCTGGTAAGCTTCAGAGTAATGTTTTCCGATCTCCTTAAACGGTACTTTTAAATCAGATATAAACAATTGCTTTGTATTCAACAGTTTTCTTTATCTAACTAAAAGTTACACGGAAGGAATAGTAATCTTGTCCTGAGTGAGTCAGTCGTTATCTCAAGAAGAAACGAAGATGCAATAATTCCCGCATTCGCCATTTTTCATCACGATCAAAGATCACATGGTTTTATTGGCATCGATACAACGAAATCTACTTTTTCTCTTCATTTGATATCAATACATATCCTGCTTTTAAGTGAAAAGAACATAAAAAAATCATTTAATCCCAAAAGGAACATACTCATATCTATTGCGCACGCCAATCAATTTGCCTTTTCTCTCTTTCGTGTGTAAATATAAATAGCTGTATATAATAATAAGTGCATTAATTCTTATAAACACTGCAACGACAAGTATAAAATATACACCAGCTTTATATACCATCCTTGCATACGATTCTTCATCAAAACTGCAAAACTTATTTTCGTACCGTATCAAGAACGATTTTTTGATAGCAAATTTGAGACTTTTTATATTCCTCAAAAAGTTTGAAAAACTTAGTATCAAAAGTAAGAAACGATTTTCATTTTACAAAATTTGAAGCTTTTCATTCTGCAAGAGACAGTCTTTCGAGAATGAAGACAATCAAATGTTTCTATCTAGAATGGTCTGCTACCGGTAATATGAATAATGCACGTTATCATCACACAGCATCTGTATTATTAAATGGAAAAGTATTAGTTACTGGTGGAGTAGACAATTTTGAATTAAATAGTGTTGAGCTGTATGATCCATCAACAGGCACTTGGGCAACTACTGTTAACATGACTAATGGGCGAACTGAGCACACAACATCCTTATTACCAAATGGAAAAGTATTAGTTACTGGTGGATTTGACAATGGTGGATTTGACAATGGTGCTGAATTGTATGATCCATCAACAAGTACTTGGACAACTACTGGTAATATGACTAATGCAAGAGATTCTCACAGAGCATCTGTATTGTTAAACGGAAAAGTATTACTTACTGGTGGATTTAGTCATGATTCTGGTTATTTATACAGCGCTGAACTGTATGATCCATTAACAGGCAGTTGGACAACGACTAGTGACATGAATAATGCACGATATTATCACACAGCATCTGTATTATCAAATGGAAAAGTATTAGTTACTGGTGGCACTG